GGGCCACGTGTTTTGTGCACTTGTGTGTGTTTTGGCATGATGTTTTTGGTAATCTCTTGGTAATCTCTTACACTCAGGCTAAATTCATTCATTTTTAATCCTTTGCTGATGCTTTTCATCATATTGTTTTAATATAACAAAGCACCATAATTATGAGGTTTATTTAACTGTGACATGTGAATTATAATGAGCGAGTTATACGTATAACAGTTATATATAACGGTGCTTGCATACAGTACTTTTGAAGCATGTGAAAGGAAGGGTCTACTTGAAAGTATTGATGATGATCAGGATTATCTTACTTACTCATTTATGATCCATGGCTTGCAGTAAGTTGCAGTTCTAGTCATGGTTGGCAAGAAGGGATTTCAGTGACACGAGACAGGATTAAGACAATATAAAGGCAACACGAACCAAAGATGGACATGTCCAGTTCTGCCTCTTTTTTTTAAATAACAATTTAATCAAAGTAAGGTATGGTTGTGTGGTGTTTGCCACTGTAATTTCCCATGTCTCTTTCTTTAATAACGTTACAATGTATTATTGGTTTCATGTCAGAGAAACAAAATAACAGATATCCTTCTGTCCAAAAATAAAGCTGTTTCTGTGCTGTGATGGATGTAAAAAAAAAAAAAAAGAAAAAGACCTCACTCTGACCCTGTTACTCTGGACCTCCTTAAGTGCTCTCCTCAGCTCCCAAGACCCTCGTACTGCAGGAGAAAAAGTATAGAGGAAATCGAACAAAAATCATTGAGGGTACTATCCACAATCCTATACCCAATTAAAAACACCTATTGTGCACAGTTTGTCTCAGTAATTGCATTGCTGGAAGGCGTTCAGAAGTCTTGCATACAGTCAGGTACAGTTAATTGTAGTTTTTCAGTTAATAACAGGTTTAAAATGTAATATTTATGTGGCAGGTCGAGAGTTTTTTCCGATTGTATGGCATGATGTCATGTGCAAATGAGTGACTGTAAACTGACCATTGTTAAATTTATTAGCAGTCCTAATCTATCTTCACAGTAAAAAGACTGCAATTAATGATTTCTTTATTGCCATTGTCTCATCTCTAAAACACTGCTGTCAGCTAAATGTATTCAGTAGCTGCAGCTGCCAATTAGAGGTTGGTGATGGTGAGTGCAAAAAAAAAAAAAAAACAACAACTATATATTAGTTATGTCTTCATATGTTAAGCTAATTAAAAGTCCCTTATGTGAAATGAACACCGCTCTTGGATAATTTCCAACCCATGAAGCAAAACAGTCCGAAATACTGAGCGCACACACTGGAAGAGTGGATCCTTTTGTTAAATATTATTCCAATCTGAATGAATTAGCATTCTTATGTCCTTCACTCTTTGTCTGGTCATCACTGTTGGTGTGCTGTTTTACTTTTTCATTAATGAATAGAACATGTGGAACTTTGATGTGCTAATGTGGCTGCTGCTTTCTGTATTTGCAGGGAATTTATTTGAGATGGGATTCATGTTTTTGTAGATGTTCAGTGAGTAGGTTAAAGAAACAATGGCAAGAAGATGTGCAAATTCTAGAAGCAGAGATGAGTCATTCAGCTTTCAACATACACCTGTTTTATTCCAAAATGTAAATGTACTGGAAGTAAAATAAGGCAACATACAGTGTCAGTGAAACCAGAATTATAAGTGCATCACAAAATAAAAATGGATAATGTGGGAAGGAAAATCACGCCAGTATATAGACAAAAGCAGATGTTTATGATGAGGCAGCCAAAAGGGCTTCTGTTCAAGTTGTGGTAACACAAAGCACAGGTGGCTGAGAGTGAGCAGTATACATTGCTGTGTCCTACTTTTGAGTTTTACTTAAGTGTCTTTTGCCAACTTTGTCTTGTTGCTTTTGCTCTGCACCTTCACATTATTGCTGATGTCTATGGGGCCATTTTGCAGGACCTGATGTAGCCTAAAGTCAGCTTCCTTGTGTTAGTTTGGCTATTTACAACCTAAATAATAATCTCACAGTGGCATCAGACCTGGGTTAGGGCCCCATAAACACTGCTCGTAAAGAAAGAAAGTATAAAATTGACCATCTTCTACAGCCACCTGAATCATCAGGCCTAAAACTGACAAATTCTTCCCGAGATGTTGTGAAGCCTTATCCCTTAATGAACTGTAGACTAACTGTATAAACCAGCTGAAACAAGGACAGAAGATGTTCAGAAAGCAAAGAGCGGCCCCTCCCTGCGTTAGGCACTTTATATTCATTTGAGTTAGTATTTCTATCATTTTTTCTAGGGCTAAATACAGTGCTTTTAAAACCCACCAATATTCTGCTCCTTTGGCATTTAATACTTTTGTGCTAGGATCTCTTAAGTGTGCCATTAGAGTGCTGAGTCTCCTCTTGTTTAGTACATCTTGTCTGCATTGCTGGATTTGTGTGCTCTTCTCCAGTCCTTTGTTGTAACTTTCAACACAAACCACCCAATTAAAATATCTCAGGCATACTACATGTTTGTTATTCTATATACCTCTGACTAATCAGAATTTGTCAGTGACATATTAATGCTGAACCCCTCTGTGTTGCTGTTGTACTGACAGCTGTCTGCACTATACTTCATTTTCACATTTGATTTTTATTGACGGGGTCTGAACTGCGAGATTTAACTTGCATGTGTAAATGTGCATGCATCATCAATATGCACTATGTCCATGTCTGACTCTGACTGATGGGCCAAGCCGCTGAGGATACACAGATATTTCTGAAGGAAAAAATGCACCAATAATTAATGTGACTGAAAGTGCTGAAGCTGACAATGTAGTTCCTGTAGACTGCAGCAAGAGGAAAGTCACTGCTGTTATAATTGGGCTGTAAGACAGATGTTGAGAGATATGATAAGACAGAGTCTGAAAATAAGTCGGCTGTTTCCTATAGAGAATACACCTTATGTGTGTGTGTGTGTGTCTCTGGTCTACAAGCCTGATTATTACATCCTACATGTGTGACTTTTTCTTGTTCCACTAAACAGTAACTACCTGTCAGTACTTCAACTTTGCTTGAAACTGAAAAGTCAGCAGGGGACACAGGGACTCTGTACCTGCAGGATCTGTCAAGAAACGATAATAATCTGAACAGTTTCAACACTTGAGATGTTATGAATCTACCGTGCTGTAAGAAATGATTTATGGTCTAAAATGCCTGGGTTAATATAGTTCAAGTCGGTGATGAAACACAGGGTTCGGAGACAGAGGAAGAGTGCAAGGAGTGAATACAGAGGTCTTCATTACCGTGATGCCATGCTTTATACGCTCAGTTTAATGTAATCGTGCTACACCCTCTTTTAATTAAAGCAATAATTTAATTTTAAACCACATTAGATGCACTAGTGTCCTGACGGGCTCTGAATCCAAGAGCTTTTCACTGTAAGAAAATATTACTTGTGGTTTAGTCAAATGTCACATCAGATAACATCAACCTCTGGTTTCATTGTTATATTGCAACACAAAGCAGCAACAAATCTGCACTTTGGCAGAAGCAAAATGGACAAAGAAATGAATATTTACATACATTTTAGTTAATGAAAACAAACCAACTATTGATAAATCTGAGACACTGCAGTGTGGCTGCAGTGTCTTTGTAGTATTGCTCAACATTTAGTATATGCAGAAAGGGTGAAAGTAACAGACACTGGCTGTGCATGAGCGGAATAACAAAACATAGTGTATGAAAGGTTAATGAGCCCGGAGAAGTGGTGTGGTCTCTGTCATATGAGACTTCCCACGTATAGAGGAGTGAGGCAAGTAGAAAAAGAACATGGCTTTAACTGAGGCAGAGTGATGTGTGGTGGCTGAGCAGTCATAAAGACAGATTATAGGGATCTGCAATGTGTTGGATGAGGGGTGTGAAGAGAGGGAAGTGTTACATGAATTTGGATATAAACAGGTTGTAATAAGTCTTGGTGGGGCTCATTTAATATTGACAGTGATGACTTTGCACCTTCAGAGTTACATTCCAATGTATAATTTTAAAATGTACAGAGATTTTAAGACATTTTAATCAACAGGTGGATCATTTAGTATGGCTGAATTGTACATTACTTCTAAATGCACAAGGAAATGCTCACAGGGTTAAATATCTCTCACAGGAAAGGAAGCTGTGTGCGCACCCGTTCCTCGAGATCTACAGGGAGGGTCAGATCCAGTTCATGGCCCCCTTGGCTCGGCAGGGAGACTTCTATGTGCCAGAAGTCCGTCAGGCAGAAAGAAGGCTTTCAGAGCAAGACGAATCGCACAGTGACACAGAAGTCTCAGGTACGTGCACCTCATGCTATGCACTGTAATCCTAGTGTGAATCAAAGCCTTTTTTAAGATACACCTGATTTGATAATGACTGCAAAACGAAGATTGGCCTTCATTTATGTGTTTCTGTCTTAGTGAAACTGAACCCATCATTCAGAAAAAAATACACGAGCAGACCCACAAATGTCAGTTTCACTTGGAACTTTGCTTTCCCATATACAGGTACAGAAAAAACAATATACACAACATCTATGGTTATTAACTTTAAAATCTGATTCTGCTCTAAAGAAATCAGTACTTGTGCTCTTTCAAATTCTGCCTTGCAAACTGAATAGTGCTCGAAATGTGATGTGTGCACTCAAACATTTTGATGGCAGTATACTTCCATAAACACTGGCATTTATTTGAAGGTGCTTCTGGCAACCAAATATTTACTCTACTTCTGTTTTTGGTCTCCACTGTCTCTGAGCGAAATATCCGGCTTTTTAACTGCTAAACGCTTCACTGTGTTCACCAGGTAGTCGCTAAGTTTATCGTGTTTTAGATCCGTTTTACTGAAAATAACTGCTGATGCCAGAAAGTGGAGACAGTGGACCAAAACAGTAAGGTTGCAAAACATGAAACTGCAGCAGTGAGTTGAAAGTTACTAAAAGGCTTTGTAGAGTTGAGGGGAACTGCAGAGTCATGATATAATTCTTGAAGGGTTTGCGACCCCTGTCACAATACACATAATCATTTGGACTATTGTTGACATAAAAGTGTCAATTAGTGCTTCTTTTTGCAGTTTTGGACTGGCGTGTATTAGAGAAAGTGAAATTAGCCTAAAAACAGAAAAAGGGTAAGAGTTTTCTCTGTTTAAAACAGTCAGCTACTTTTTGATGGCCATTAGAAAACTGGATGTTAAGGCACCTGAGTTTCGACGTCAGCACTCAGCTGTGGAACCTGCCACTAGGGTGGGACCCAGGGGAACAGACCTTGTTTCTACTGCTGTTTTGTTTATGAGCAGCCCTGCAGAAGAAAACAGTGCTTGACACCTGCCAGCTAGGTGTTAATGAAAAACCCAGACAGCCGCCTCTGGTGAAAGTGTGCTGCCACTCACCAACTTGCTGTCCACAGCTTTATGGACACCATATGGAAGTCTTGCTTTGACTGTAAAAGATGCACAAACGCATAAAGTTTCACTTGACACTAATTTATCCTCATGGGACATAAAAACTTGTGAAGGAGCTTGCTATCAGGAGTCAATACAAGCTGCAGCGAGTTACATCATGAGTTGACATGGAGTATGAAAATAAACCTGTTTGATGATAACAGGTTCATAGCTACAGCATTGTGGCAGAGGCCACATAGTTTAATTCAGTACAGTTCAATATACAGTAGTTAGACCTGACACTGAATCCAAGCAGAAACTGAAAGGACACAGATAACCATATTAAATCAATGAGAAATAGGCATGTTGAAGTCTAAATCTTATTTAGATGCCATGAGTTGCTTAGAAATACATATATGATTGGTGCTTAAGAAATTATTAGGTTAGCAAAAGTAATTAGCAACAATTTCAATAACTGATCAACAAGCAAAAAATGCCAAATATTCCAGGTTCTCAAAAATAGAGAATTTTCGACACAGCTGTTTTGAAACTTTGGAAATGGAATGAATTTTGAACTTTAGTCTGGGCTGCCCTTTCTCCTCAGCAACTTTGAAGCCCTTAAATGATCAGTGGATTTCTGGATTGTCTAAGGTGTTGTCAGAAAGTACAAAACACAGTCTGGGTGTCTAATGCAGACAAGTGTAAGTGAGCCTCCACTATTTTTGTGTAGTAGTGTATACCCTGAAGAACACAGTATACAGTTATGGATTTATTCCACTAGTATTTACATTCTCATTCAACTCTGATGTGAAACAAAGTGGTGTTGACAAATTCAGTGCTCTTCATGTGTCATGGGCACAGTGCAGACAGCAAGTGGCATTTGGGTCTATGACCGTAAATGATAATGTGACAGGTAGTCATGTTCCTGTCACACAACGATCAACTCAGCCAGGCCAGTGGAGCATTCAGGATTGAAGACCTCTTTGCTCCATTGACCCCGCAACCCACCCATCTGGTACTCACCAGTCCCCCATATCGATCCCGTCTCAATGACCGGAATAACCCCCAACCTCCTTCCACATGGCTCCTCACTGTCAGACAGCAGTCTAAAAATCACCCTGTCACTCTCTAACACTCAGCTACACATTTAGCTTTGCTCTAGTTGGGTGTACAACAGCATTTTGAATCATCAGTCAACAAGCTTAATAATAGTTGTTGCCTTAGCTATTTTAAGTGTTTTGGGGAAAGTTCAAATCAAGTCTCAAGGCTTGTAAAAGCAAGTCTCTATGTGAACATCAAGTTCACAAGGGCAAGTCCAAGTTATGCCACAAGTCTTTATTAATTTGGGGATATGGTCAAATTGAATTAATTTGTGTAGCGGTGTTTATACTTTACACAAGGGGTTACCAGGATTCCCATCTTGGCTATATACAAAATAGGTTTACAGTTGGAGGTCATATTTTAACCTGTGATCCGCAACACCTAAACGGATGTATCGCATGTGACGGGGCTGTTATGCTTTTACTATATTCTCCATAACTAAAGTGTTTACATTCTTTCATCTGCTTTGTGATATGACCGATGGTGGAAAGGTCCACTGTGCTTCATTACTGAATATGAGTCTGTTCCATGCTACTGCCATTTTTACATTCATCATTTAATTTGATGTAGAGAAGAGACTGTAGCTTCACTATATGTGTATTGCTGAAAAGGAGACGTCAATGGCCACACTCAAAGACGGAGTGAGAAGCGTGCCATCACAGAGAGGGGCCGAGTGGAATTACAACTGAATAAGAGCTGCACTTGTGTGTGCACAGAAGTGGCAAAGGTAATGACGTGAAAAAGTACACAAACAAACTATGCTTACTTCCTCCCATTCATGCACCCAGCCAACTGTTGGTCAAAGTGGGTGATTGTCAGGTTTGAAAAGTGTTGGCTGCATCCAGTAAAACCAGTAAAAGCCTTCAAGAAGTCGCAAACAGGTCATGTCTGTGAATGCTGACAACACTTTGTGGTACAGCTGAGACCACATTCTAAATACATGCTTTTAATATCTCAGGGTGTGGCTTGATGAATGTCTTTCTCCGAAGAAACATGCCGAAAACCTTGAGACTGAAGTTTAGGATTTTATTTTAGACATAATTCTTGCTTTTCTTTAAAAGCCAGACAAAAAAAACAACTGGTAGCTGCAAACCTGAGTAGTTTGCAGAAGGAAATTAAATGAATGAACTTGGTGTCACTGACTGAATTTATAACTATTATAAATTAAATCATGAGTGATTCTTTTTCTGTGTTTTTGTTTTTAGCTGTTTTCCTTCATGGTACTAATGCTGTTTTATAGTCTCTTCTGTTCTTAGCTTTTGTAGATTTTTATGTTGTTGCCTCTTGCTGCGTTTTGACTGGAACTTGCGATGCTGCTGTCTCGGCCAAAGCTCCCTGAGGTTTCTAACCTCAGTGGAATTATCCCTAGGTAAAAATGTGTCAAATCAATTAAATATAAAATAGATCGACTAAAAACATTTACTGATTTTTATAGTGTCAACTGAATGTTTTTATTTCCGAGTCTCCAGCAGTGATTGTCACCCTCTCCACATGGCCTCATTCTCCACTGAATTTGACCTGACAGTTATATAATAATCATCCTTCTGTAAACTAAGTTGGAGTAACCGCATTAAATCTTAACACACTCAAATTCTGCAGCATCCTTCTCCATCTCATTCAAATAATGGATCAGCTGTCACTCAGATGTATGCGGAGACTGATGCCTGAAGGCACCAGTGAAGCCCCTCCAATCAAACGCAGAGACCATTTTTGTCTTAAAAAATGAAGATATCATGCCTAATGTGAAGCTTCCAGTCCAAATGGGATTTTCTTCCCAGTTGACTAATTTAATTTTGTGACTTGCTTTAGGCAACCAGCAGAAGAAAAACCAACATGAGGCCAAATTCATTGCTCTTTTGGAGCTTAATGTGCATATTTTATGTTTTATTTCATTTTTTTTTATCTTTCTTTCATCAATCACATGCACATGAGGTGGGTGTAAATGAATCAAAAAGAGCTTATGGCTAGATTCAAATTTGGTTGTTTTTTTTTATTTGGATTTTGAATATGTTATGATGATAAATATTTCATTCTATAATGTACATCGTGTTTAGTGTTGATTTGTGTGTAACTTTGTTGTGAGGAATAAATTAGTTATCATTCAGTCGGATATGTAGTTTACATTCAATTAGTTTAAATCATTGCGGCCCACCTCTTATTCACACCCTGGTGTGTGCTCCATCCTGATCCTGTCTCATATTCTCTGTCAACATGTAGCAGTGTCCACTGCAATATTGCTTTCCCTCCTTTTCATATCATAATTTAGGAATGTCTGACCAACAAAAAGTCTTATTTAAAGTGCAATATAGCAGGAGGCCCACATAAACAGTGTATCTTCATAAGTTAGCAGAGTTGCCCCGATTGAATTTTTAATTAAATTATTCTTCTTTTTTTTTTGTATTTTCAGGGTGGTTAACATTCTGTACTGTCTACACGTTACTGTGTAACACCATTTCCTCCCTTGGCTTGTTCTTAGAAGTGTGATGTTCACCGTGTCTCCTAAGTGCAGAGTTCTGCTTTCTACCTTTGAAGTGTAATGAGGAATAGGAAAAAATGTTTTGCTTTACAGTTTGCTGTCTTTAGAGCCTGTCACTGACACAAAGTCAGCAGCTACTCCCACTGTTTTATTTATTTCTTTTTCTTCACCTTTGGCTGTCTGCTGTCTTGAAGTGTACGGTTGATTTGTATGTTACAACATCCAGTGTTCATCCGAATGCCCTGAAACTTTAAGTGGGTTTTTAGAGAAACCCTCGCTTATGTCTAGAATTTGGCCCATGTCATACTGTGTTTATATGTGTAACATAATGTCGCCTTCTGGCTTCTGTCCACTGTTTCATGTGAAAAGTATTGTGTGCATCTCTGTGTATGTCATGGTCTGCAGTTAATGACAGACTAGCTTAGTGTTAGGACATATTGATTTGTGAAGAGTGTTATGTGGAAACAGCCACACAAGGACAAAAGGTCAAGCGACAGGCACACACAGGTATGGAATTGATCCTGTTAACCTGCAAAGTATAAACTTGGATACACTGAGGAGTCAGGTGGGCTGCTGATGTGATCACATCCAAAGAGCAGGTAACTGATTTCCAGGAGTTTCTAATTAATAACATTTTGAGTTCTGACTTTAAGTCACTGCACATGTTGTTGCTAATCACCCCATAGTTCATTAATAACTAGACAAATGTGTGACAAGCAAGAAGCTATGTTAGCTGTCAAAAATACTAGAAAGGTATTATAGGTACTGTATTTCTCAGCCTCTACGTTTTTGAAGTTGAACTAAATGTAGTTTTTCTAGTTCTCTATTCAGTCATCGTACCAAATCAAATTGAGCTGCATCAATTTGTAGATTGTACAATTAGTATTACTTAAAAAAGTGACACTCTTCAAACACTCTCCAGATGTTGGCTATCTTGTTTCTGTCCCTGATGGTGTTTTTTATGGCCCTGAGCTATTTTAACAATCTTTTTAAAGCATATTTGGTCACATTGTTTGAAACATGGTATTCTACCAGCATTTTATTTTCAATTGCATTTTCTAGAAGAATATTCATATATTTTATTATTCATCACTTTGGTGTAAAAGAACAAATTGTGGAAGAGAGAATAGTTTACTCTGGACTGAAATCACTGTGAAGCTCAAATACAATCCTGCAGATTTTGGTCGATTCCCAGCCCTGGATTTTTGGACAGCCAGGCTTTTCTCATGTGGTGTTTGTTTATAGACATCCTCTCACCATCTGTCCATCTTCTGTCATTGTTTTATCGCCGCTCTAGGTGCCGACTCAAACAGTGAACACAGCTCAGGGAGTGGGGTTCTCCTGTCAGACAGCCGAGAGACAAGCCTGGTGGCGTCCTCCGTCCACTCTGTGCCTGTCCGGGACCAAGGAAGACGCTCCAGGGGAAGCTCATTTAAAGAGCTGGACTGGGAGTGGACAGGTGGACAGCAGGAAGAGAGAGGAAAGGAGCTTCATGGAGACTCCAACCAGAAGAGCCTGGAGGTTCCCACTGTGGAGTGGTGGGGTGTGGTTGGAGAGGAGGAGTGAGAGTTCAATGAGATGTATTAGTTGAGAGAATTAGAGGGGTGGAATTGAAGAGATTAAGAAGTGCATATGATAAAACTGTTTTTCACATTGTGTTTGTGTCCAAATGGGGAACTACAATATTCAGCCATTTTCAGTGAAAACACTGGGTGGGTGATATTTTATATTTCTGGTCTTATTGTCAACTAATCCCTTGAAAAGACCAAAACCAACAACCTGTAAGTTTGTTTCTGGGTAGTCTCGGACTTCCTCACCCTGTACGCCCTTCCATTCATACAGAAGATTTTCATTTAAAAATAAGTTATAAATGTGTAATTTTGTTTAAAAAAAGTTAAATAATTCCCTAAAACAGCTGGGAACTATAGTTTTTAGTAAAAGTTACTCAGGTTGACGTGAACAGGGCATTTGTTGAGAACTGTTTTTAGCACATTTGGTGCAAAGTCACAGCAGCAGGTGTTACTTGAGATCAATTCAAAATGAACTATAGTGTCCATGTTAATGTTAATGGTGGTACAGGTCACCCAGTGCAACAGTGTGCCTCACTGAAGTGTTTAATGGTTTTTAATTGGGTCCTTTGACCGAGGAATAAGCAAAATCAGGCTTTGGCTGTACAGAAAATTCTGTCAATTCATTGTTCAGTTCATTGTCAGTTTGGTCTTTTTTTGGGATTTGACAGTAAAAAAAAAAAAAAAGGGATATGACCAGACTTATTCTTGAATCCTTTGTTCGCACAGCTTTAAAATGAAAGAAAAAAAAAAGGGATGTAGATTTTGCTGACAGAAAACAGTCTGCTTGAATTTTGTAGAACTTCCTGAGGTAGCCTGAGTTTCTTGAAACATTTTTGTAGAAGTTGTTGCTGTTTGTCTGAACGATACATGATGACTGAACGGAGTACGTCTTGGCTGAGACAGTTTACTTGAATATCTTTAGGACCTCCTTATCTCAAATGGTCAAAGCTGTTATGAGAATGATCAGATAGTTTGACAGTTGTCTTGTATTTCTAACAAATTTTTGTTAGAGTACAAATATACATACAAGGAATTCTGTTCATTTCAATTATATTTAGTGACTTGTTTACAAAGAATCTTAGTTTTATTCATTAATAATGATACATGGCATTGAAATTACACATAGACCTCACAACTGTATTGTGTTTTAAAAATTTGTTGTGTTTTGAATATTTGTGTGCCTTGTTATGAGTGTTATAATGTGTATTTTACAAGGCCGTGTGTTGGCATGGCTCTGTTGGTGATCTCCAAAGATAAAGCTGTGAATGAATGCATAATTACCTTTTTCTATGTAGTCCTACTGACCACCTCTGAGATAGAGGGCATGAATATGGTGAGTGTGCAGCCAAGACAAGTGGGCTGACCATTAATATTCATTTCACTCTCACTGAAACGGGAGCTCTGCAACTCAACTTGTATTTACAGTCACTCTACATCTGGCTTCTAGCATCCTTAAATTACTCTCACATTTTTTCTCAGCTTCTTTATTTCCTGTTTAGCCATCAAATCCTCTTATTTTACTTTCCCAGTCTTTCTGCCATCTGCTGTCTCTTTACACAGGCTAATTCCTGTTTGTTGTTTCTCCTTTTGTTCTCTCTGTCTCGTCCTCTTTGAAATATATATGGCAGCTGCAGCCTGAATGACCACCTGATGACCCACGGACCTGTAATGTACGTCCAGTCATATCCATATCCTTTATCTTCCCACAAACTAGAGCTCACGCTGATCTTCTCACAGCAAGCCTTTCTCACCTGGAGGGATACACACGTGTGAAACCAAGTGAGAGATGAGCCATACAGTATGCGCCACTTTCATGCATATTCTGAGCTCATGTATAAGCATTTAAGATTCACCAGATTATGATTTTTAATTTTGACAGAAATGAGTGGGCTAGTATTGGGCCTATACATGTCGGTCTGGCTTTCACTTCTGTGTGTTTTTGAGCAAAAGGAAAAAAAAAAAAAAAAAACACACCAACAAGCAAAGCTGTGCCATTACATTATAAGATACTGTAAGCTCACTTTCTGACAGTGTGTTCTCCACCAAGGGCTATACAACAGACTAATCAAAGTGCCTTTGAAACATTAAGAGGGTATTTTAAAGCTGTTCTAAAGTTGTTCTTTACACAGTCATAAATAATCTATAATAATTTAACAGCCCATATTTATGGCCATTACAAGCATATATGTAACTAGAATTACTGCTTCATGGTTGTATGCCTCCGCCAAACAGTCAGATTCATAGGAATGGACAGACATGAGATATTGTGTTCACAAGATTAAGACAAACACAAGGTCAGCATGACCTTTGACCACCAACATCAAATCAGTTTATCCTGGATTTCAAGTGTAAACTTGTGTCAAATTTGAAGAAATTCCCTCAAGGCATTCCACAAGAATGGGCCTGATGGACGCATGGAAGAACGGACGACCCTAAAACATAATGCCTGCAACCGTGGCTATCGCCAGTGTGGAGGTATAAAAATACCCACACACTGACAGAAAGCAAGCAGACTCTTTAGCTGCCAAAAAATAAAGTTATTAACATCTGCACAAGTGATAAAGAGAAAATTATCCAGTAATTCTGCAGACATAAATAGACACTCAGCCTATCTGTAAGGACCAATCAGAACACAGGAGGCCAAGACCACAAGGTGTTTCATATGAGCTCATTAGACACTAAGGTCTGATCACACAAAACTATATGAAGGGCAGAAAAAAACACTGATAAAATCTTGGTACACAAGCTGTAAATCTCCTATACACCCACACGTATCAAACGTTTTGTTCTGATTGGTCCTTAATGAAAGGCCGAGTGTTTATTTATTTCTGGGTCTAATCTGTGCTGACGATGGCCTTTTGACCGAAACATTCACATGGTTTCATTTTATCACTTGTGCCTGTGTAGTAACTTTCTTTGGCAACTTAAGAGCCTCTTGGTTGTTCCGTCAATGTGCAGGTATTTTTGTTTTTCATATATGGGACATGCTGTTTTTGGCCATACGCACCTGACACATCTCTTGAAAGGCCTGGAATTAAGAGTGCGGACCCTGCATCGATTTATGATCATTATGCTCATAATACATAATTAAGTAACACAAAATCAAGACATTCAAATAGGCTATAGATATATTTATTCAGCTTCTCAATAGCTCCTTTCCCTGAGTGAGGTGCAGTTTCGCATGGCAGGTTTACTGAGTTATGGGTGAAATCTGGAACAAATCTTGAAAATTGGCTGATTTGGGGTTTTACACAACAGAATTATCCAGATAACCCAGTAGACCTATGTCTTGGATCAAGCCTTGGTAGCATGTTGTTAGGTGCAGCCAGCCACAATTGATTTTTTTAGACATTACCTGTCAGTGTGGTCTCTACGGAAAACAATATTGCACTCATGGAGTTCTCGGCTGTTCATTAGAGTGATTTTGTTGACAACTGGTCATTAAACAACTGTACATTCTTACTCTGTGGAAACATGATGTTAAAAGAGAAACAAAAATAAACCAGGTCGCCTTCAGTGTTGTTCGTTGAGTAACTTACTCTAAATTGGAGTTGTCTCAGATTTAATTGGCAGAATGCTGAGCTTTGAGCTGACAAATTTTCCACAAATAAGGGGATATATGAGGTGTGTTTACATTTTAAATCTAAATGCAGATTACTCTAAAGATGGTTAGGTTCCCAGAGGATAACGTTAAATGAGATGGATGAGCTTTGAGAGTACGAGTGAAGTGCTGAAATGGTTTTGGTGTGTTTAATTATAAAACCTCTGTGGGAGCAGTGGGGGACTTTTTCTTACTATGCATGCAACAGTAACATGCTGAAACCATACTGATCTGTGAATGATTCATTATTTGTAGGCCACAATATTTATTGTGCACACATGTGGGGCAGAGAGAGTATAGATTTAACCAGACTATTTGCAGCATTGATGTGACAGAGTTCAGATCTCATGTGGCTCAGTGCAGGGCTGTCTGTGCTTTTGGAAGTGGTAGTAAAACTGTCTTATATTGTTGGCCAGTTAAAGGATGACCCCACTTTATTTCTTTCTTTTTTTTTTTTGTATCACAGGACCACGGTTCTTATTGATTATAAAACCTTTGTACACACCAGACTCATTGCTGAAGTCTGGGGATGTGATAACATCAAAGAAACAAGCTGCCAAACAAACATACATGTTTTAATAAAGTTTTAACTGTCAGTTGTAAAAAAAAATATTGCAGTATACAGACTGACTTTCTGGTTCAGCTTTTTCCTTTAGTTGTGTATGCACAACTGATCAAGACATTAAACTCTTGAGCCTTGACTCGTTTGAATGTTTCCTGCTCCACTGGACTGTTGTTACCATTTTGCTCCCAGCAATTATTTGAATGAGTACAACATTAAAACCCTGAATGATAACCAGAACTATCAAGGTCAGAATCCAGTTGTAGTAAGCCAGAATTACCCTTTGACCAAAGATGAATTTATGGGGTGGGAAGCTGGAGCTGTGACCTGATGGTCTCTGACCATTAAGCAGTTTTGGTGCTTTAATGGGCAATTCACCTAGATTAAAACAAACATGTTGATATAATTTAATTTGTACCGTTCAGACTACAAAATATAAATCTGAAAAATTCAACAGCAAATTGTACTTTCAAAAGCAATGTCTTCAGACCTATTAAAGCTTCCAGTTTCAATAAAAACCTCAAAGTGAGATCTATGGATAAACAAGAGTATTCAAAGAGCTTTATAGTGCTTTAAGCACCATAAACAAAATTGCATTCACCTCTACTACACAGTGCTGAGGAGGCAGCAAAACATCATAGATGGATATCTCAAAACTCAAACTAACTAAACTGGCCCTTTAATCCTGCTCAAACGAAACCTGAATTCCTCTGCTGATAGATATTGTGCAGGAAATACTTGGCTGAGGTGAAGGAAAGCAGCCTGATCAGAAAATATTCAACCACTTCCTCCCTATAGACACTGTAAATAGCATTATTATTATTATTGTAACAAGACTTGTGTTGTGAATATCAGCCAAAACAAAAATGCTACATAGAGAAACAAAACTGTGGATTTTTGACAGATTGTTTTGTCATCTTTCATTAATGTTGCACGTCAGGAAAAACACAAAGTGAGCAGCAGTCAGACTGATGCACGCTGACGACTGGCTAGCAACACTGTGGTTCTGTCCTCTGTAATTTCACTCGACTTTAATTGGCATGTTCCTATCTAAACCCTGCATTCTACCCACATGCCCCCAACTATTGTAATGTAAACTACAACTCTATTTCAGGAGAAAATTGGTCCCTTTGTGTTAGCTGGGGGAATTATGCAACAAGCAGGACCCGCTCGTCATTTTAATTGCCAGTGTACACAGGCAAAGTTTGTCTGTTCTCAACCCCTAACTGCAAAGTAGCTATTGTTAGTCCGGAAATGAAACATTTGAACATGGTGAGATGCCAGTTATATGTGTGGGTGAGAGGTTGTGGTGGGTGTGGTCCTTATATGTGAAGGTGACCAAAAAAAAGCAACTGTTTGTAGGGTGAAATGGTGTCTCTGCAGAATGCCTTGCTGAGCAGTATGTAGTAGAGTTAACTGTAATCTCCAGAGACTTGGCTGTGCAGCTGTTAAACAGGTAAATTTGCTTTAGCCACTAAATGTCCAAAAAGATATGTTGTTTTGATGCATGGGTTGCAACTCGACATATGACGACAGATAATGTATTTTGTGCAAGTGAGTCAACCTTGAGCTCAAGCAGTCCTCCAACCTACTCATAGATATGACAAAACTGTAGACTGAATGATATAAACTCTTGTTATTGAGGATGTGGGAGGTCACCTTTTCAGTGAACAAATTGTGTAGCATGCCCCTTGAGTGTGTGAAGTGCCATGCCACTCAACTGGAGTGTGATTCAGTTTTAATGAGATGGAGGTGAATGAGAAGCTGTCCGGCCTTCATGGAGAGCAACAAAAAAATATGTTCATTTCTCTTTTCACATCTTTCTAAATTTAGCAGCAGAGAGGCAGGGCCTTGAAAAGACTGGAAAGTGTTTTGTTCAGTTTTTTTAGGGTTGTCATTAAAAATTAGATTGACACCATACCATGCAAGCTCAGCTCCACAGGGAATGCAATGGATGAGCCACTTAAAAATACCTGTGAGAAAGTAGAAACAGCATTTGGGATTTTGATTAATGCACCCTGGTCATTGTTTATTTTCCTTACTCCTACTAAGCAGAACCTATTGTGTCTCTGTAAGTTCCGTTGTGTTATTTTGGAGTAACGTCGTTGCAGCACACCCCATGTGAAGCCCAGTCAGGTGTGTGAGAGGCGACAGCGCAGCGTCGCACTCATTATAGCTGTGTAGCAGCAGAGAGAGCATGTGTGTGATCCGAGGGTGCTACAGCAGGATTTCTCCACTGCGCCCCTTTTTGATTAACTTTCCAAATAGATTGTAAATAGGAAGCGTAATGCAAATAAATAAATGTGTCGTTAGATTCACTTGCCTCTCAGTTCAGCACACAATAGAATAAATCCCTTCAGCCACATTACTGCCGATGCTTTTGGACATATGAGCACTTAGGCTGTGGCTGGCAGGCACAAGTTGGAGAGCACCGAGGGGAGTTTGTCAGACTTGCCCATGTGAACAGCACTTCAGAACCAAGGACAGATCCAAAGCGCTGCCTGGCAAACATGCTCAAAGTGAGCAACATCTGGACGCTGCTCATCACATGAAGGGCTTCACCTTGTCTGTGGCTGCACATATACCGACAACATACATCCAGTGCTTCAACCAGGTAAGACAGGATCGCTAATAACTCTGATTTTACCCTGGTAGATTTTTTTAAGCATGTTTATCATTGGCCTACTTTGTCTCTGCATTCTTCTATCCGACGTGCCTTTGCATTTTAATTGTTCTATCAAACTCGCCCTTCTAATAAGATCTGATCACATATCTCAGAATCTCATCTGTCACTAAATCAATAATTACGATCACTTATTAACAGAGCAACATATTTCAACATGTCTCCGTTTTGCGTTTAATTATATCAGACAAACAACAGTCGTCAGTTAATGTAGAGGCTACTGTCTCAAAGCAGGTGAACTTGTTCTAATGGTTTATAGTACTTTGTCATTAGATCATCCAACACCTGGGTGTCAATGCATAGGCTGCTAGTATATCTAGGGATGCATATAGAAAGTTGTTTCCACTTGACCCATGAGAATATTCGGCATACTCGCTGTCTCAAATAAAAATTGCATAATCCAATATTGTCCTAGCTGCACCTAAACCAATCAGAGCTTTTGTATTCAGACAGCGCCCTGGCATCCTGCTGTGAAAAAGTAATGGGGCTGTTTCCAGTTTGCGACGTTCATGAATATATTTAGTCAGTGTAAAAAAATATTGCAAACAACCGATTTGGCGTTGGGAAGATTCACCATCGCGTTTGCCAGTGGATCGGACGGGCTGTGATGTAGCAAAGGGATTCCTTTCTAAAGGAGGCACAGCATTACATTACGCCTTGATCGGTGTTATCACGATGCTATTATTAGATGGTAAACAGTCGGTAGTTATAGATAACTTGCTGTCATTCTCATAGCTGCATCTTATCTCTCAGCCTCAGTGTGTTTGGACACATCTGAAGTTTTCCAGAGCTCCCCAGACTGACAACCATGATTTTCTTGTGCTATTTTGATGAGACGATGCTTTCGCTGAAACTCACAATCACCTGGCTGCTGGCCACCACAGAGGCAGCCTAATTCCTTCAGCTGACAAGTGCAGGTGGAGGGATAAAGTGGATCCCTACTGGAGATGAGAGAGCGATAGAAATCATTAGCAGGTGCAGGGTTTTTCTTTTTTTGATTTTCACTGGCGGTAAATGAAGGTCCTGCTGCTCTGAACACCTAGTTAACTTTAGATTGAGAAGCTGATGCTATACAGTAAATGACAATAACTTACTTATTTTTCCAGGATAATGTGAAAATCTGTTGCTCGGTGGTGATATATATATTACAATGTCAAAATTATAACCTGGGTTTCAATTGGGAAAAAGATGAAGCTTTGTCCATTATCCATCATATGGATTTTGTAATAATACTAAAAACTACTCAAATTATTGTCCCGTCACTATTTTAAATAAATCCCATGGGACAAATGTTGTGTTATTACACAACAGGCTTTATTCATGTGTAGTGGATTAGATACTAAATTAAATGTCATGTGTGGCATGTTCAGGTACTCAAATGCACACAGGCTATTTGTTAAGCAAAACTCACAGCAAAGTCTAAGTGCATGAGGTGATGTGATTAAAATGATCAACAATTTATTTAGTATTACATAACACACCAAACTGATTTATTTTGTATGATAGTGGACGCTGACAGCTGGAACAAACAGGTGTCTTGAGGGCTTTTCACTGCCCTGTACCCTACAACCATGCTCGTTTTACAGATGTGATTTCTCTACAGATGCGTGTGATACAATTGTACAGGACAATCACCATCATTGCTGAATGCAACTCTACAGTTTATTCATTCAAAACACATTAATTATATGTTGGAGCAGTCCTCTCTGTGCTGGGCAGGGGTAGTAATGCATTAGCTGATGGTTCAAAGAGTACTGCCTTTTCTTTTTGAACTGGTCTTTCAGAGGTAATATGTGAATGCAGCTGGAGAGAGAGAGGATCTCTTGGCCGCTGAGTGTGAGTGCGACACCCATTTCTACATCAAGATAGTTTTAATGATGTGATACAAGCTGCTTTAGAACTAAACAAAGGCTGGGATTTAACGCTTCTGCCAGCTGATAGTTCTGCTCCTGGTTAATTAGCATTTCCAATAACTGGAAGGAAATATGGTTTTGACAGCTGTATTTTATGTCCACTTCAGACTCTCCAGCATTTATTTGCACCTCTTAAAGTTTTTATGGGCTCCCCTGGACCTCCAGCTTCAGTTTGGCCTAATTGGCTGTTTATTAATTGCTTTATTAATTCGCAATGCGATCTAATCTTTGCAACCAGAAAGGCCCCATCTGCTCCAACAGACAGCACACAAGTGCAATTATATTCCTAATGTTGAGATCTTCATGTTACCGTCTCACCTCGGTTCTAATAATAGGGCGAATGTGGAGCAGCAATGCCAAACACCTGCAGGACACGCAGCAGATCTGAGACAGAGTTTAAATTACATCTTCACATGTTACATGTAATTGTCTTTGCTGGCTAGAGAGTAATCTATTCATCAGTGCACCATGAGGTTTCCCACCCACAGCCATGATGTAATATTTATCTATAGGGAAATTCAGCATTCATTACACTTTTTCCCCTTGTTTTCTCTGTGGGTCGTTGCTGCCACTGCTGCTGGGATGTCAAAGGATATTCCTCAGATGCCCCTGCAAAAACATTCTTACACATAAGCATACACAAGATGAAAATAGCTGTGTGTAGCTGCAGAAGCTGGTGTGTTTGTTTTGTAAGCCTACCCTTGAATATCCCATTGTTGGGGGTTTTCTGGTGCTCTGAGCAGAGGAAACGAGACATGCTCACAAAATTAAACAACTGTTAAGACATTTACTAATAATGTAACTAATACCACATTTAGACAGTGAAACATTTTTGTGTAATAATACAATGTCACTAACAACTCTTTGTGACAGAAAAGGAAAAGTCTGCGATAAGCTTCTCACTGCTTGTCAGTGGAAACGGGAGCAGCAGCACATCTACCGCTATGCTTTATGCATTTACCAGCGTGAATCCTCTAAAATCCCAATTTGGGTTTTAAAAAAATCTAAAACAGATAATATCTGCTGATATTATGAGCTATTGTTGCATCCCTCTGACTTTCAAATAATTTGATGAATAATGCTGATACTATAGTGTATGAGAAAGACATGCTGATAAATAATCCTGAAAACACTGCTGCTATGATTCGTTACAAATTTTATTGTCACTAGGCTATGTAAATCAACATGTTTTCAGAACTTGTTTGTATGTTTGATGAATGTGATTAATGACAGTGTTTGAAAGGAGCCAGAGTGGTTCCCTCTCTTTGAGAGTGCTGTGATTGAACCAGCCCACCGCCCTAATCAGACATCATAACAACTCCTGGTGAGATCTAAACCTGTAACCTCAACATGATAGGAATCTATATTAGCATACGTCTCACTGCCCACTTCCCTCCAGTTATCCACCATGTTTCCATGGCAACCCTAGCAATTCTGGAGAACCACCATGTATGTGATATCTCCATTCTAAGCTTAGAATTTATGCTTCACTCGAGAGGTGCCTTAAATATCTATACATTTTAGATGGGGTCAATGGACAGTCGTAACCCCTGATTTGTATTTCTGATAAAGCGATAGTGATTATATTTCACACAACAATCACCAGGAGCCTGGTTGAAATAAACCTACTTCTGTTTCACCACAAAAAATCTCATTAAATTCATAGCCCCGTTTCAGCCTCCTGACAATACAGTCTTGGGTTTAGACTGGTATTACTTATGTCTAATATTTCTATAGATTACAATAAGCTGAGAAAAAGTAATGTAACTCAGGTGAGAACTGACAGGGAAGCTGTAAAGAAAAACAAAGTTTACAGTATATATCTACTCTCTGCCTTTACACTGCTCTATACCTTGTTATGAATGTTTCATATCTTTCAGTAAAGCTAACAAGGAGAAGCTGAAAGCACGAATGGTACTAATGAAATTCAGAGACAGGTAAAGGTAAAATGAAAGGTAGAAGTATAAGCTGTCAGTGGGTGCCAATAATGCACATTTTGAGGCTTATTGGCTGATGATAACTCATCATTTTAGTCGTTTTATTTCAGTTTATTTACCGTGGCTGATATGTAAGCAGAGTCTTCACAGGATATCTCACTGTTGCTTGTGTTTGTATCCCAAGAAATGTGACCCACACTGTACGTTAATATTAGGCTTACATGTTCACATAAAGGACAGGAGTGGTTTAGATATGACCTCTTGACTTTCTGTCTATCAACTAGTTATGTAACTCACTGTGGAGCCACAAAGTCTAAATTCTTTAGGAGTCCATACAAATTCAGCGTTGCCTCATAAGGTATGAAGCATATGGTAGATATAGAAGTTGGACATCAAAGGCTTCTCTTCAGCCAATATAAATACCACCAGCCTGAGCACCATCTGGAGAGATGGATGGCGATATAATGTGTGTTTATGTTTAATGTAGCTGTCTATGTTGATCTGTCTGCATTGCTGCTAATCTCACCTGAGCTTGACAAAGTAATCTGCTATCAATTCAGCCCAGATAGATCATGTTTTTCATTTTAGGTCAAAACTAATACTGCAGATTTACTTTGGTGTTTGTGTGAATTTTTGTGTTGTGTCTATATGAATGTGTTTGTGA